AAATTGTAAGCAAAAACGAAACAATAACAATGATATATCTTACAGATTATCAACGCAAAACACAAACAAGAATACACATATACACATCACACATGAGTAATATGGTAGTACGTGCACAGAGACGCATTACAAGATCACTTGGAAAATTGGAGACATGTAAATATATAGAAATAATGCCGTAATTACGAAATGATATAAATAAAGTACTGAAAATGTGAACAAGTCTGCTTCCATACCCTTCTATTTAAATAGATAGTTACAATTCAGAGAATCATTGGAACTGAAAAATTTCATATGCTTTTAAAAATTTCATAATTAAAATTTCTAATACTTTTGTTTTTCAAATAATATTATGCATCATTGACAGGATAATCTTAAATTTATAGTATTCTTATAAATAATAAACATTTTCATAATAAATTTGAATTCCCTCAATTATATCATTTTATATGAATTTAATTGGTCAAACAAAAACTCACAGGTTAATTTAAATATTATAAATTTAATTTTTTATACTACGTTGGTTAAAAATGATATATCAACAAAATATACTTTACCTTCGTACGCAATTTTAAATGCACCTTTAGTACGAGAAAGATGGACGTTATGTTTATCAATGCAACGAAGAGTAACGTCGAATTTAATCTGTTCTTGATTACAAGAAAATAAGAACGAATTGCAGAATTGTTAATAAGTATTTATATATTGACTGTTTTCAATGACATATAAATTCAACACTTATAGCATTCACTAAATTAAAGCACTTCTTATATAGGTTAACTACTGCAATAACAATAACAAAAATTTTACTGTCGATTGAAATTTCAATAATTCATTTTTGCAAAATTAATTTTAATTATTGTAATTGATATGTTGCAATAACATGTTATGATTAAAGAAAATGATTATATTTTAATTTTTATATTGTTTAGAAAAATGCCAGATATTAAAGTCACTCCTTTAGGAGCTGGTCAAGATGTTGGAAGAAGTTGCATTCTTGTATCAATGGGTGGAAAAAATATTATGTTGGATTGTGGTATGCACATGGGCTTTAATGATGAAAGACGATTCCCAGATTTTTCATACATAGTTCCAGAAGGACCTGCAACTAGTTATATAGATTGTGTGATTATTTCCCATTTTCACTTAGATCATTGTGGTGCTCTACCATATTTTACAGAAATGGTAATATAAAATATATAAATTGCATATTGGAACATCTTTTCTGAACAAATGATTTCGTTTATAGGTGGGTTATACTGGCCCAATTTATATGACACATCCAACAAAAGCCATTGCACCAATCTTACTTGAAGATATGAGAAAAGTTGCAGTAGAACGTAAAGGAGAAAGCAACTTTTTCACATCGCAAATGATAAAGGATTGTATGAAGAAAGTAATTGCTGTTACATTGCATCAATCTGTAATGGTTGACTCAGAACTAGAAATAAAAGCATATTATGCAGGACATGTACTTGGTGCTGCAATGTTTTGGGTTCGTGTTGGTTCACAATCAATTGTATACACTGGAGATTACAACATGACTCCTGATAGGCATTTAGGTGCTGCCTGGATAGATAAATGCAGACCAGATTTATTAATATCAGAATCAACATATGCAACAACTATCAGAGATTCTAAGAGATGCAGAGAAAGAGACTTCTTGAAAAAAGTATGCCAAAATAATGAATAATATACATGTGCTGATTTTACATAAAATTTATAAATTACTTTCCAGGTTCATGAATGTATAGATAGAGGTGGCAAAGTATTAATCCCTGTATTTGCACTTGGACGTGCACAAGAACTTTGTATATTATTAGAAACATATTGGGAGCGAATGAATTTAAAAGTTCCTGTATATTTTGCTTTAGGATTGACTGAAAAAGCTAATAATTATTATAAAATGTTTATTACTTGGACTAATCAAAAAATCAAGAAAACTTTTGTACAAAGAAATATGTTTGATTTTAAACATATAAAACCATTTGATAAAGCATACATTGATAATCCTGGAGCTATGGTAGTATTTGCTACTCCAGGCATGTTACATGCAGGATTATCTCTTCAAATTTTTAAGAAATGGGCTCCAAATGAAGCAAATATGGTTATTATGCCTGGATTTTGTGTCCAAGGCACAGTTGGACATAAAGTTTTGAACGGTTCTAGAAGAATTGAATTTGAAAATCGACAGATTGTTGAAGTTAAAATGGCAGTAGAATACATGTCCTTCTCTGCACATGCTGATGCAAAAGGTATTATGCAATTAATACAATATTGTGAACCAAAAAATGTTATGCTTGTACATGGAGAATTTGCTAAAATGGAATTCTTGAAAGAAAAAATAAAACAAGAATTTGGAACTAATTGTTACAATCCTGCAAATGGAGAAACTTGTGTTATCACGACTATTGCCAAAGTACCAGTAGATGCTTCTTTAGCATTGTTAAAAGCTGAAGCAAAAAGATATTCGGCTTTGCCACCAGATCCTAAAAGACGAAGATTACTTCACAGTGTTCTAATGTTACGAGAAGACGGAGCATGTCTTGTAGATGCAGATGAGGTAATTATTCCATTGCGCTCAATTAATATAAGCAAATAATTGAAAACTTTTTTGAAGGTAACAAAAGCTGCAGGTATAACGAAACATGTAGTACGATTTACATCCACTGTTCAAGTAAGAGATCCTGGACCAGCACATTCAACGACTTTAAAATTATTACAACCATTGAAAGAAAGACTATCAGGTTGGACAGTTCAGCTAACAGATGGATCGATATCTGTTGAATCTGTTTTAGTAAAAGTAGAAGGTGATGAAGATGATCAAAAAAGTGTCTATGTTTCATGGACCAATCAAGATGAAGATTTGGGTAGTTATATTTTAGGATTTTTACAAACTATGTTGAACTAAATATTGATATAATTATTAAGAGTGTTAAAAAGAAGAACAATTAAATAATTATTAACTAATAGATTTAAACAACTTTTTTGAACCTGTGATACTGCTGCAGTGAATACATATTATTTTTTTATTAAACCAAAAGTTTTATCTATTTTATATTGCTACCTGTATCATGTTAAATCATCAATTAATGAAAAAAAAATGAGA